ACTTAGAGCCTAAATCAAAAGTTACTCCACTTTGAGAAAGTTGTAAGGCAAATAATAAATAATATTTTCGTATTTATAATATTGTGTATATATATGTCCACCTCGATGTTTCAAATTAACATTTATTATTTAAATAGTGAAAAATATATAGAAACGTAATTTCTACTTGATAAATACTAAATTTATGAATGGCCTCCTTGATGCGCCACTGAAAATACAACACTAATGGATAACACATCCTTAAAAACGCTTCAGACGCGACGGGAGAGGTGAAAGCGTGACGGGTATTTCGGCCTCATAAGATTATACAATTTATAGTTTACAAAGTATACAAAGTGAATGAAATTAATCTACGACCCTACTACCCTCCACCTCCCCTCGCTCTTTCATTCGCTGAATAAGATTATTTGCCTGTAATACTTTCTCGTTGGTTTTAGGAGCGCTTAGCTCCGAAAACTCGAGAAGAAACCAGCGTCGGAGAAAGAGCGCTTGTCTGTTAAGTCACAACGCGCGCGCGCGCGCGGCTGTTGGGATAAAGTTACCGGAAAACGTTACAGCGATAAAAAGTACCGAATGCTTTTTAACCCGGAGCATTCCCGGCGTTAATGCAAACGCGCGCCGGTAATACACGTAAATATGCGCGATGCGAGACACGGGCGTAACCGTCCGCGGGTTTCGCGTTACAGGAAGAGCCGGCCTTATCCGCGCGGATCTAATTGTTGCGCCGGTCGGCCGAATGATGGTTAGCGGGTCGTTCACCACACCCACGCCGAGAAGTCATCGGCGATACGAATATGATTCCACGGCCGGTGGGAATCGAGCGAAGAGAACGGCGAGAGGATCCCCGATAGGAAATTTCCTCGGCGCCCCCAGTCCGATTTCCCGAAAATAATTATAGATTTTAATCCGCAATTCAATATTCATATTAATTAATACCCCTCTGAAAATCTCGCGAGTCTTGTAGAAATTGTTATATATTCGCGTGTTGCGAAAAATACCGCCTCAACCAGGAGTCGAACCTGGATCTCTCCTCCATTTACCGAGCAGGGCGCCGTGCCAATTCGAGGGTTTCAGAATATTCCTCGCAACACTATTTGTATGTAAAAAATAGAATCCAATTTATTAACTTTTTAATCTGACATTCGGCCAAACTGTCACTCGACTCTCCGGCGATGACAGTCGCACGTGACACGAAACAAGCGATAGTACACAACCAATCCAGCATCCCGAAAAAGAGGCTTCATGTTTGGAGTAAAATTGCACAGAGAAGAATGTTGTACTGCGAGGAAAAGCAATTATCCGGCAATTATTTTTCTTCCTTAAATAGATGGTTATCTTGAACAAAGAATATTTTCTCAATACGATATTAAAATATACTCGTTACAAATATTAGAAAAATTCAGAATTCACCTTCGGAATCTATCCAGTGCATGGGAAAATCCGGGACAATATTTCTATGCGGGATTTTGCGTTCGTCGGGGAAATAAACGCAAAAGGCACTTCCTAGTTACAAGATCATTTTCGTCGTTGCCAGACGCGCTTTGTCCAATTTGCGCGCTCGACGCTGACGATAAATTATCAATTAAATCGTAATTAACGCGATCCGCCACTTTGAATTCTCCTCCTCCTCCGCTGTTGTTGAAAACTTTCCAGTGTAACTGCCGTGAACGTGCAGAATCCCTTTGCAAATTTTGTAAATTACGTCAAATATAATACCTTTGAATATGCTCCCTTTATACTCGCATATATATTTTATAACAATATCATTAATATTACCAAATCCTCTTCTGTCCTCGTCTCCAAACGTGCGATTAATTTCTGTGTTCATGTTTCCAAATAAATAATTAAATACCGACCGTACCTGGAAATATGTCGGCGCGATGTCCGAAATGCACGGAATTTCGGAAATGTCGCGTGACTCTGGACAGAGACCGCCGTACCCAATCGACAACTATATATATATATATATATA